ATGTGACAAGAAAATAGAGGGTAAGAAAGTTTCTGACTATTGAAATTGAAATTATTTGTGGACAGTTGCCAGTTTTAAGGCTTAAGGCAGCCTTAGAAATCAACCACAAACGCTGTGAGCATCCATAATAATTCCAGGAGTTTCATACATAGAAAAAGGGAACAGATTATTAATCACCCTACTTTATTCTTACACACCACTGACTCGTGGGCATGACTAGTCACTAAACTCAAAACAAGAAAGAAAAAAAGTGATTTTTTTACTTATCAACAGAATTTCATTATTATTCTCAGTAAAATAAATCACTGCCTCCATTAGTTAACTGCACATGATAATTATCCATCAGTTTACCTCAACAAAAGACCAAAAAAAAGTGTATTCACAAAAGCCACAAGATTTTCATTCCATTGACTATAATTAAATAAAACAAAATGAAACTTTTGTTTTCTGTTGGATGCCTTAAAAATACTCTCCCAAAAAACAATGTAATTAATTTAAAAAAGCTATTTATGATCCCTTTAATACACCATTTATTAATGTCATGGTGGAAGACTCATGCAAAGGCCAAAAAAGTATGTGGATTCGAATGTAAATGTGATGTCATGCTTTAAAAAGCAGGACATAAAAATGAAAGAAATTAAAAGCATTTTCTTTCGTTGAAACATCCTGTAAAAGGTATACAACGAATTGTTCCTGAGTAGCTAGCTGTAGGGAAGGTAGGATAGTAAAAAAAAATTAACCATCTTAATTACGAATGCTTAAATTACTTTTTCAGGGAATTTTACTCTTGTTTATTAACTTTTGTGCCTTTTTTAAAATGGGGTAAAATTATTCTGCGGAGATAAACACTTCCCTATCGAAGCACATAAATTTCAGCAACATGGTATCGTTACTGTATCGTAATAAATTGGTGGTTTTCGTGGCTTGAATTTTCTTGGTTTGTTGTTGATGACAAAAAAATTCTTTGTGGAGCTGTCTGTATGTTTTGTAACGTAAAAAGGGGACGGGGGGGGGGGGGGACGGGGGGGTAAATTTTTGTTACACTCTATACCAAACAGGATAGCCAGGAATTTGAAGTGGGGGGGACAAAAATTTTTTTTGTATGGTAAAATTTAAGGGAGGGTGAGGGGTATTATTGTGATTTTTTTATAAAAACCCTAGCAAAATAAAGAAATTTCTGTTTACGTTGGGGGATTTGTCCCCCAAATCCCCTCCCCCCCTCCCTGGCCACGCGCCTGATCCAAAGTTTTCTGATTCTCTTACAATGGTGGGGGGAAGTGGAAAAGGAAAAAAATTGTATGTTACGAAATATGCGAACAACCCCTTTCGTTTTTGCTGAAAAAAAAAATGTTAAAAAATATAATCATGAGACATTTATCTGACAGATTTACGAATTAAGGTATTTCTGTTGATGTTATTTCCATTGAGGCGTTCAGCTTGAAATGAAATAACCGCAAAAATTCCAAAAAAAGAATTTTCATCTTCAAAACCTTTTCTTTAATTTTATACTTCTACGAACGTAAATTGTATCCTAAAACTATGGCAACAAAATCATCATCAACATGTTATTCATTTGAAATAATCTTTTAAGAGGCTGAGTGACTAGATGCTGGATTTTGATGACTAATGATTGATGATATTTTGTGAGCTTTTATGATTTTTTGAAGACAAAAAATTTAACCCCCCCCCCTTCCTCCCCTCAAAAACTATTTATGGATTGAAACATATACAGAATCTTCCAGATACAAATTGTAAGCGCATTTCATAGAGAAACAAAGAAAACTGTGCATTATGTTTGTAAAAACGTCGCTTCCTTCGCTTCGCTCTCTTTTCTTATCATTATCTTAAAATAACAATGTTTGCGTATGTACGTTTGAATCTTGTATTTGATAACTGCTACGTTATTTCATGGAGGTATGTGCACATCAAAAATTCCTTTTACATCTTTTGAGCTTCCGACTTGAATGCTAATGATTGTTTAAAGAAGACAAAAAATGATTGTCACGTGAACATCTCGAAAAAAGTGATGAAAAGTATATCCGAAAAGTTTAAACATTGTAATTTTAGCAATTGAAAAATTTTCGATAATTTTTCTCGAAGCGATGAACTGAAAATGACGTGAAAAATCATGGAGTGGGGGAAGTGCTTATCTTAACGTGTCGCCTAAATTACAACGTTGACTTTAAAGACTTTTTCGTGGAAGTTTACAAAGTTTTGAGCAATTAAGTCGTCAAAAATTGTCATCAAAAAATGATTAAAATTTTTTCGTGGAATTAATCTTGGAAAACGCAGGTTCAATCTGTAGCTTATCAAAGTTTAATAACCTGTAAAAAGTTTTACAAATTCTTAAGAATTCTTAAAATAAATTTTTAAACTTAAATACGCTTGCTGCACAGCTAAACTGATATGTAGCTTTTAATCTGATATTTGGAGCATTTTTGACATTTTCATCATAAATTTTGAACTGCTGGCTTTATGACTCTCGACATGGTGAGTTGTTACAATGATTTGTCGACAAATGGATATGTTCAAAGTTCATCACTCCATAAATATTGTGAGAAATTGCCTAAAGGCAATCGGGTTAGAGATTTAGCTTCTATAGAAGTTTAAGGTTATGACTTTGAATCAATCAATAAAAAATGATTAATTGTAAGAATTGAACCAATATTAGGTGCTAGTATTAGTTGGAAATCGACAGATTTAAACCAGAGATGCGATACAGGTCGCCAGTCACAGGTACAGGTGACAAATCCCTCACACAGATCTGAGATAAGATCACCATATATAACCGAAATAAGATGAAGTTTTAATGACTGAAAATATCACCTCCTTAATATTGTTGCAAGAAAAAGAATTATATTTAAGGTCAGACTGAAATTTGATCTTTATTTTATTTTTTTTTGGATTCTTCACTTTTTTTCTCAGTACAGGCGCGTAGCCAGGGGAGGGGGCTAGATTTGGGGGACAAATCTCCCAACGTAAACAGAAATTTCTTTATTTTGCTAGGGTTTTTATAAAAAAACCCACAAAAATCCCCCCTTCCCTCTGAATTTTCCATATAAATTTTTTTTGCCCCCCCCCCCTCTTCAAGTTCCTGGCTACGCCCCTCGTATATCCTTAAAACAATTTCTAAGCTTAAGTATTTCCATGAATTGTAGATTTAAAAGCTTCGTTCTGTTCTGTTTATTCAAAAAGTCTTGACAAAATCACTCAAAAAATAAATTAAAAGTAAAATTCTAGGAACTTTAATCCTTTAAACTCACAAAATATTCTTCAAGACTTCCAAGAAATAATCTCAAGGTTCTCTGCCTCGAGATATTATCTCCGTCTTTTATTTTCAACAGATAATTGATTTATCTTCAATAAACAAAGTCTATTTATAGGTTCGAACTGTCCCAAATGTATAAGTATCAGAAATTAAATGAGTAAATCAAATTGTTTACTCGAATCGCATGCCATTAACATCATTGCTTTTATTTATATTCAATACGAAATGAAAACGTTTATTTAAATGTGAAATTTATTGCTCGATATTGATATTAAAGAAAAATCTCATATCTTCTTTTTTTTATGTACAACAAATCTTTTTCTGTCAATAAATTTTCACTAGTCGTAGACGAAGGAGAGCGAAAAATGGAAGAGAAAATGAGTAACAAGTCCATTCTCACGACCAATAATTATGTGGATAATAGTGAATGATGTTCACTTAATGAATTTTCACGCAATACTGAATGAAAGTACAGAATTTTCAGTGAATGTGGAAAATTGGAACCAAATGGAAAATGAAACAAAGTTCCAGTGGAAAAATACTCTTTTATTCAAAAATTCCACGTGAGTAGGAACATTAAGGCACGTAAAAAAATCAAAATCTCTTAGGATGGATAATAAATATTAAATGAAGTAAAAATTGTTCATCGACACATAAAAGTATGAATGTAGACATGAAAGGTCCTGCATATCTGTATAAATAATTAATGATACAAAAAAAATATAGGCAGAAGAATTTTTGTGGATTAAAAAATAGAAAAAGGCAAGATGAATGTTGATGGATGTTTTGTATAATGAAAAAGTTAAAAAGAGGACTTTGCTTTTATTGCGTTTGGATATAGAGCAACCAAGAGGGTCAACCTCTGGAATGTCTCTTCTGTGAATGAGTCAACTTTAAGCTTCGCATAGGAGAAACACAGCCAGAGTACTATTGAGGTAATAGATAATTTGTAAATATTAACCTTATAAGGCAAGCAAAATGCAGCTAAATAAGAGCAATTTTCAAGTTCATCTAAAGGGGAAATCTGTTGTTTCGAGGTCATTTCGAAAACGAGATCCTGGATGTTGGCAATGAAATTTGCTTGAATAAAAAAAAAAATGAATAAAAACTTCTTGGGTCATGAAATAATATTTTTAAGCATATGTCTCAGTCGTTATTATTTCCATGAACCCTTACGTTAAATCACAGTAAATCCAATTATTGTATGCAATTTTCGTTATGAATGCCTTAAAAGTATAAAAGTTACATAACCAACACATAAAATAATATCGTAAAATTTTATGTTCATAATTTATTAAATATTAAGCTCAGACTTTCTTCTTCTTTCACTCCTTCCTTACTGTCTTCATATATTTCACAATTTTTTCGAACTTTATTGAAAATTCTCTTTAAATTATCATCATTTTAAAGCTAAACGTCTTCCCATCCACACGTAATGTTTTGGGTACGAAAATGACGATGCAAGAAAAGCTCAAAAATTTGCGTGGGAAGCTTTAAAATATTCTTCTTGTGTATTGAATATTGTAAATTGACGTCTAAAATGCTTTAAATTATTTCTGCTACTTAACCAAGTCAATTTATGATTTATTCAACTCAGCAGTAAGTCACTCATCAATCATAATTTTGAACTCGGAATTACATTTGAAAGCACATCAACAATCGCATATATAAAGCCTGAATAGTTTTAACTTTTTCAACAAGTTCTGTTCTAGATTTCAAACTGTGAATTGATATGGAAGTTCTGAGGCTTTTTATTGTTTGCCTTTTGTGCTGTTCAGTATCTGCTGATGTGCAAATTACTTCAAATCAAAATCTATCGGAATTAGCAATAGCATTTTCTGAAATATCTCAAGGACTTCAAGCATCACAGACCATTACAATTTTAAATTCTGAAAATCGTAAATCGAGCGCATTCAACGAGCTTATTATGGAAATTCATCGTCTTCAGCTTCAAACGTGCATATTTAATGACACTGAGAGGTTCTTTCGATACGTTAAAGAGAATCTGAAAGGCTCGGTTGAAGTTACAGCACTGATTTTCCATAAACCTGATTATCTCATTCAGAAGGTAAGATTAGCAACTTTAAGCTTAGTTCCTTGTGAAAGTTTTGAAGTTAATTTATTGCTGATGCACAAACTTGTTGACAGAAATTGTCGAAACTGCCTTCAAAAATTGTAAATCCTGTCTATCGATTGAAATTCAATCCTTTTCCACCAGAATTATATCAGGTTCCTCAATTGTCACTTCAAGGGATGGAATCGAGTTCTAGAAAAGGAAAAAAAAATCTCTTCTTTTTCGTTCCTAAACAGATCCATGAAAGAAATCTCGCTCATCGACTGAGTCTTTACATTTTCTATTGGAATGCAAAGCATTTGCCTGCATGTTATAAGCAATGGAACCTTCAAGATCCGCTTCGTACTGCATTTATTACAAATCCAAGGAATTTTACTTATCGCATTTACTACAATCAAGCAACATCATCAAATGATGGGAAATTAAAGCTAGTCAATTGGTTTGATGGAAATAACCTTGGCTTGAATACAGAACCACTTTTGCCTGACATTAAGCAAGTCTTTAAAAGCTTCAATTCTCGTCATTTTGTTGTTCCTATAACTCATGTAAGCTTGCAATATTTTTGTGTCCATGCATTGATTTTTTATTGTCTCAAAAATAATTCATAGAGTCCTCCGTGGATCTTCATAAATTACATTCAACAACGTGACAATGACGATGCCATTTTATCATCAGTGCCTGCAACTATATCAAATGACAATAACATTATTGATGATGAAATGATGATGAGCGAGGAAAAGTTTGTGAATGAAACAAAAACAGACAAAAAGGACAATGAGGACGGTAGGAACATAAAAAAGAAACAATTGGTTGTAAGTGGAAGGGATGATGTGCTGTTAAAGTTACTGGCAAACAAAATGAATTTCAAATTCGAATATATTGACGTGAAAATGATGGAATCAAATGAAAACGTGACGATGGCTGGTGCATTGGGATTACAAATGCTCCAAAGACGAGTAAGACATGCTTCTTACTTTGACTTGTAGTGTCATAAGATTATTCTTGTTTTTTCCATTTCCTTTTTCATTTATGATAGGAAGCAGATTTTGTGTTTGGCGATATCGTTGTCACTTACGAACGAATGCAGGAAGTTGAATTTTCATTCTTTACACTTCCTGATTCCGGGGCATTTCTCACTCATGCTCCACGTCGTTTAAGTGAAGCATTTGCTCTTGTCTATCCATTTCAGATGGAAGTATGGCCTGCATTGATTTTTACAATCATCATTACTGGACCCATTCTATATTTTATGATAATCATACCAGAATGGATAAGGAACAAGAGAAGGAAAAGGAAATTGTTGGAACATCCTGCAAAATCATTTTATAACATGATTTACATTAAAGAGATTACAAGGCATCAAGCAAGAAACTTGAAAAAGCATGTCACGACTACTACTGCTATTGAGAACGATAGACAAGTCAATTCGGAAGGTCTACTTGCACGCTGTGTTTGGTTCACATGTCAAATCTTCTTAAGGCAATGTTCGTCCTTTATTATTAAAAAATTTATGAATAAATGAAAATTGATTCCTTTTTTTCTGAGCAGCAACGAACTTTCCGCACATCAATAATCACTCAGTTCGACTATTTTCCATAATTTTATGGTTATCAGCTACGTATGTATTAAGTGATTTATATTCAGCACAGCTCACATCACAATTAGCTCGTCCTTCAAAAGAATTACCAATCAATAGTCTTTATCGTCTTGAATATGTCATGAATAAAAGCAACAGTGATGGATACAAGCTACTTGTTGAAAGAGATTCAGCATCACATCACATCCTGATGAATGGAACTGGGATAATGCAACGACTTTATCGTCGGATGACTGCTCATACTGAGAAAAATTCACATTTATTGGACTCAGTGGAACAAGGAGTTCGAACTTTATTGATGGATGATAAAACTGTCGTCTTTGCTGGACGTCAAACGCTGTTCTTTAACATGAAACGATATGGAATGAGAAATTTTCAACTTTCTGAGAAACTTTTTACGCGCTACTCAGCAATTTCATTGCAAAAAGGATGTTTGTTCCATGACAGCTTGAATGAGAAGTAAGAACCAGGAAGAAGAACTTTTTTAAGCATATTAATTTATCTTCTTTTCAATTTCTCTTTTATTATAAGCTTAATGAAACTTTTTGAAGGTGGAATTTTGGATAAAATCACTAGCGATGAATACGAGAGGATGTTTCAATCAATGCAGGTATTACAGATAAAAAATGATAAGAATGTTGACAACAATGAGGAAGTAGACGATGATAAAACTGATACAGAAGAAGAAGAAGAAACGAACTCAAATTCCATCAATGGAGATGAAAATCTGAAAAACAAAATAACAAGCGAGAAGGAATTGACAGCACTCAGTTTACGAATGTTGCAGGGTGCATTTTATCTTGCTATAATTGGCTACATTCTCGCGTTCCTTGTCTTTATCGGTGAAATTGGAATTTTTCAAATGAATGGCACATCCGCATTGCCTTACACTTCAATTACTAATCGATTACGCACAGCCTTGATGAGAATTTGTCGCTTACGATTACATCACTAAGAATCTCTCGTGAACATGATCATGCACCATTAACTTTTATGCTAAAGCAAGAGATTAAAGCTTACTTAAAGTATTCAATTTCAGGATGCATTATGCACAGACAAACGAGTCTTAAATGCAGCAGCACAGTCATAACCGTTTAAAAATTTCTTTGTTAAATTAAGTTTTTTTGCCTTAGTTTTGCATTTTCAACATGCACATGACATGCAATAAGGTTGAAGATGCATTCACAATAAATTTTCATTATCTCATTAAGGACTAAGCTCCTCATTGCAGTTTAAGGTACATGATGACATGAAAAATCGATTTTTAGTTTCCATTCAGCACAGCAAGTACAGTCAGCAATAAAATATTTTTTTAGACATTTCTTCTCGTTCAAATTGAAGGAATTGTAAGCAGCAATTCAATTAGAAGAAAAAAAGCAATTAGAAATTTTTTATTTCGGTTCTCATTTTCATATCAAATTGTATGTGGAATAATTGATGCAGCACAAACATCTCAATCTTGAAGACAAACAACAACAAAAAGTTTTTTAATTGAATCTCAAAGCAGTTCCTGTGAAGCTCTTAAATACACCAGATTAAGAAGTTAAAATGAGTAATTTGAATTTCTGCCTCAACTTTTTTTATTGCCTGACACAAAATTCTTTTCTGTCCACAAACTCTTATTTTTATGTTCAAGCTTCTTATTCTTCATTGAGTAAAATTCTCCTCAAAAAATTAATTAAGCAAAAATGTTAACGAAAAATGCTCTGAAGCGAAAGATGGGAATTTGTGTGTTTGGTGAAAGAATTTCAGGGCATGTAACACAATGGAAATGGATATGAATAAGAAAAGAATGGATATAGTAAAATCACAATGATATTAAAGATTACTTCAAGCCACATTATGCGAACCCAAAACTTATTTTATTGAGCTCATGAATGAAGAGAATAAAAGTTCCAAATGAAGCTTATTTGACCACTTTTATCGATTTTTCTATGAATCTTGACATCATTGAGGGAGCTCTGTAAATTACCTAAATTATTTCTAATAGAAGGTTCAAGTTAGATTGAATTGAATTGATTGGAAGTAATGCTTGATGTTTAATGTTCTATGTTCGGCATGAAAATGACAAATTTTGTGTCAATAGTATTTTCTTGTTTTGATAAGAAAGACGTGAGATTATGCTTACTGCTTAGAATATATCTTGGGAGAGGGCACAGCTATGAGAGGTTTGTGACAATATTCCCCAAGACAGAGTTATGAAGTTTCTAGGTTTTTTTGAGAATATTCGAATTTCTTGTCAGTATCATCCACCAACCTTCGGAAAGTTGCTACATTGCTAGGGTTACTTGTAGGACATCGATCTTATAATCAATGATGATGCCTTGAATTGGAAATTCAACTTTAAAATTTAAACAATCCCCTGAATTAGAATATTTAAGATTCTGCTCATTTACTAATGTTTGAAATAATAAGGATAAGAGCTTATAACAAGAATTCAAGAAATAAGACAATTAATCTATATTCCTTACTTCATCCAAACATGACATGTACGGAAGTACACATGTGTCTTGATTACGTTTCAAAATACATTTTTCTGAAATTCAACAATATCAGCTTCTTGAGAAATGCTGTAACAAGAGTTTAAAATCATTTAAAGACTCAATTTTGAGAAATACATAAGAAATTATCGATTTTTTCCCATCCTTTTTCCTTCATCTTAATTCAATTATGTGACTACAATTTGAGAAGACGGAAGGAATAAGAAACTTCATGAGATAATTTTGTTATGATAATTCACAGTCGAAATCTTGAAGACATCTCAAGTTTGTCTTTAAAATTTACAGATTTTTATTTGCATTACAATTCTTAAAGTCATGAACCTAAAGACTGGAAATGTGTGCATGAAAAATTCAACAGGTATGCCAGCATGAAACTTTTTGAGATGCTTATTGCGGATTTATTTCTTCAATTTGCTCACTTTTGAGAACAATAAATCTCTGTTCACATGTTACTTCAGCTGGCAGAAGTCTTCAACAGTGGATTTTATGTCAACAAACTATTGAACTTTGCTCGGACGAACAAAAACATTTGAAGACTGTTGTCATTTATTAACAGGATGAATTCAGTTGTATCTTCATTTTTTCAAGATTTTTTCAAAATAAATACTGTCATTTTAATTTCAAATTAAAGTCGTTAACTTTGGATGATGTAGTTTCACACCCCTTTTGTTTAGAATTTTGTTTTTTTCAATTTAAATGTTTTTCATTTGAACTTAATTTTGTGAACTAAAACTTAATGAAATTATAAAAAAAGTTTCCAAATTGAACAGCTCATAGAATCTCTAATAATCCTTAACAAAACTTGAATATTTAAAAAACATTTTGTGCATAAAGACTCTTGACCTACTCAATCCTCACTAATGACAGAACTATTCCAATTTAGATGAAAATTATGCTTCAACTGCATACAAATGCTCAGCATTATGTGTTTTTTCATCCTGCTATATAAGTTTCAATGAGTTCAAAACTTTTGATGTGACATTTCGGTTTGTACATAGTTAAGTGCTCAAATAAAAGTGGAAATATATTTCGGAAAAAATACTTCAAAATAATATATTTGTGCAGTCAAAGTTCATCTTGAAAAAGGATTGAAATTGTCAATGTTCGTTGGCAAGGAGACTTCAGATGCATGCATTAAAAATGTTATTTGAATATAAGAGGTGTGCATTCGTGATTCAAAAATGGCTTCAAGTACGAGCGCTGAATTTAATTTGAAAATGTAAATTTTGAATTTGGTTATCGGTTCATTGGAATTTTCGAGTATGAAAATCCAGTCTCATTAATTAAAAAGATGGAATTTTTGCGTAGAATCTCGCAGGTTAAAATCCCAATAACACATTACATTAATTGCGTGAACTAGCTTTTGGATTTAATGCAAAATTACATTTCACAATATTCGCAGTATTTTATAGACGGACTGAACGAAATGATGCAGAAAGTTATTCTACAGGTATTTCCCATCAAGTTTTGGAAGTTTCCACAATTCGATATAAAAAATTTCTCGTACATTCTTTGCTGAAAAGTCTCAATCTACTCAAATTTTCTGTCTACATAATAGAAAGAGATTTATGATGTGTAGTTGACAGGAAAATTTCAAAATGAAATCGTCAAACATCAAAGTCAATGTAGAGAGGATAGAGACATTTGAGATTGACGATCAAAAACAATCAGAATTGATTGAATTCTCTTTCTCTTTGCTTTTTTCATAATTTAAAACATGAAGAGGAAGCTTAGAGCAAGATGAATTATCTGATGTAGATCTAAAATAAAATCCATCCAAAATGAATGAAACGTAACTACTGGGTTGGAAGGAGGGAACTATTACAATTTCAATGAAATTCTTTTTTTAATGATGAGAACTAATGAAAATTGAGCTTTTTGAATGATTAAGAATCAGACTTTTTGACTGATCAGAGATTAAGCTTTTTGCCTTGCTGATTATTGAGCTTTTAACTGAGCATAATTAAGCTTTTTGACAATCCAAAAATTAAGCTTTTTGACTGAAGCTAAAATGAGCTTTTTTGAATTCTGCAAAAATGAGCTTTTTGATTAACCAAATGTTAAGCTTTTTGATTGTCCAAATATTGAGCTTTTTGAGTAATCAAAATTGAATCTTTTGACTAACGTAAAATTAAGATTTTTGACTATAGAACAATTTTTTTAAATTTTTCTAAAACGAGCTTTTTGAATTTTTTAAAATGAACTCATTGGATTTTGCTAAAATAAGCTTTCTGAATTTTGCTAAAATGAGCTTTTTGAATTTTGCTAAAATGAGCTTTTTGAATTTTGTTAAAATGAACTTTTTGAATTTTGCTAAAATGAGCTTTTTGAATTTTGCTAAAATAAACTTTCTGAATTTTGCTAAAATGTGGTTTTTGAATTTTGTTAAAATGAGTTTTTTGAATTTTGCTAAAATGAGCTTTTTGAATTTTGCTAAAATGAGCTTTTTGAATTTTGCTAAAATGAGCTTTTTGAATTTTGCTAAAATGAGCTTTTTGAATTTTGCTAAAATGAGCTTTTTGAATTTTGCTAAAATGAGCTTTTTGAATTTTGCTAAAATGAGCTTTTTGAATTTTGCTAAAATGAGCTTTCTGAATTTTGCTATAATGAGCTTTCTGAATTTTTAACAACAAACCAAAACCCCAGCATTTCTTCAAATTCAGCAACCCAAACTGCACGGAAGTTGAAGCAATCCATTCAAATCATCTTCATTAAACATTGAAAAGATGAATGAAAAATTTCTCAAAGTATCAAATCAATCAATTTCAAAAAATCTTCCTCTCTGCTGCAACAACATTAATAGAAACAATTGCTATGGGGAAGTTTATGCAAACCCACATTGAAGATTCACTGAAATGAGAAATTATTTCAATTATTTCACATCTTGCAAATGCGATTGAAACATTCATCTGCTCTAGAATTGAAAATCTGCTATTTAAAATGTTGAATTAACTTAATTTGTTAAATGAAAATTGAAATTTAATTAAAAATCTAAATCGCCATCGATAATGAAGCCAGCTCAATTAGCGCGAATTGCTTTCAATTTTTTAAATTAATTTTGTCAATTTAATTGGAATTGAAAATAAAAATGTTTTCAATATTAATTGCGAGCACAGAACTTTCATTAATGACATTAACATCCTGCAATTTGTATATAAATTATTTTAAATTAATGATAATATGAAAAATATCCGCACAGCCATTAATTTATTTCTTCGGTTCCAACAAATAAATTTATTTTTTTAAAAAAAGCTTGTTAATTTTAAAATTATGGAAATTTCAATTCTGATGTGAATTCAATTTTATAGATTGGGATATTTTGTGGTTACTCCCTGAAAGCATCATAAAATCCCACAAAAATATGTGAGCATATTTCAAGCTTATTATACATCTACAGACACAATCAAAAATGTTAATATTTATAGAATCTAATCCTTTATATTTTAACATGGCC